CTCTCTCTCTCTCTCTCTTGCACAATTGTTATGAGAGCGCACGCAAGTTTGGATCAGACAGACGCTGTGTGCCACGATCAACCTGACCTCAAAATAATCACAATAAATAACTCAATGGCACAAATAGCACTGAGAAAAACAGGTGAACTAATTTCCCATACTTGTCTTTTTCTTCAAGCAAGTCTATTTATGTAGGCTATTATATTACAAAAATAAAAAAAAATAAAAAATCATCCTAACAAACCAATTATGCTGCATTGGGGGGTTATAACCATAACTGAAATGAAGACAATTAAAAAAATGACTCAATGTTAAATTCTATTACACATCACCTGTGTGGTGATAACACATGACAAATAATGCGGCTGGCAGCAGTGAATAATTAATTTGCACTAGCAACAGTTACATTATTATCTCATCCATTTGCAGTAAGTTGCTATTAAGTAAAACAGGTTATAAAATCCCTAAACAACTCTTGGACAGACCCTACTTTTTGTAGTGTGGAGTCTTGGTTTTGTTCCGAGGCTCCATTTCTATGAGGCAGAAAGGGGGCGGGGATGGGATATTCAGATGAGCCGGAGTGACAGCTCCAGTTTCCCCCAATGCTCTGTGTGTCTGAAACTCCACTGGCTCCTTCCTTCCTAACTCCTCACTTCATAGTGCTGCGTACTAAAAACATCGGACGCTAGGGGATCAAGACGCATGCCACATTGCCTCTATGAGGGCACTTTAACAGATCTTTCGGGGTTTTTTTCCCAGTAAGGGGGCTGTGGAGGGAGGACGTTTTTTTTTTTTATTTTCATTGTCTGATGACTGTTTGCACGGCTGATTATTGAGTTGATTGTTTATTATTTTGGCTGTTGTTGCCCGACGCCCTGCGCGTTTTTTTCCTCCCTTTTTGGAATCGGCAACCTATCCCGCGCTCACCAATGTCCTATCCTCAGGGTTACCTCTACCAGCCCCCGGGCTCTCTGGCTCTTTATTCTTGTCCGGCTTACGGGGCCTCGGCTCTGGCTGCTCCGCGGAATGAAGACTTGGCGAGGTCGTCCTCTGGCTCAGCCTTCAGTCCCTACCCGGGATCGGCAGCTTTCTCCGCCTCGGCCGGTGCCGGCTTCTCCAGCCCGCTGTCATACTCCACGGACCCAACTACGGGATTCCCATCCTACATGGTAAAATATCTCATATATGCATGTGTCATTTTGCATGATGAGGCTCCGAAGCAGGGGAATGTGTCGGCGAGTTGAAGTCTGTAAGTGCGCAAAATGTTTGGCTGTCTTTCACTGGCACACAGCGCGATGGTGTCGGTAAAAGGTTTTCAGTGTTTTTGTTTGGATTCACTAACCTGCAAGTGCTGGCGGAACTTTCTAAGTGCACGGTTGCTATGCATTCATATCTAGTGGCCTACTCGTCGGGTTCTTATTGTAAAATCCTTGACCCCTTTGGCTTAAATGGGATTTTTAAGCGTGAGCTGCGCATTGTAATGGCTTGACGAACTCTTAACACTCACTGCGCAGCTAATTGTGTAAAACAGAACACCAACTAAGATTTTTATTTGAGCCTTTAGCCTACAAAGCAGTTAATTTATGTGTCATAGAAAATTAATATAACACAAGCCATAACTCTTTCTTCTTCAGCAGTCATTAAAATCACCGGGGATGAAGTCGCTGACTTTTATTCTGAGTTGAATAAACGGAATTCTAACATGAAAAGCATGACTCGCAATGCTAATGTCACAGGGCACTTCAAGCGTTTTAGGAAAGGTGCATATCAAGTGATTTGCTAATGGGATTTGTAATGCTGCAAGGAGAAGATATGTTAACACATTGGGGCTGCCACAACAAAACAAAAAGCAGCCACTGAAAGAAAATGAGGAAGTTAATAGGTGATTACAGAAAATTGAAATTTCCTTTTTATTGTCTTTACGGCTTATTAACAGGAGCCCTGTTATTAGTTAATCCGATAATGATCTTAACCATTAGTTAACCATTAGTCCATGCCTTTCTGCGGCCTGCTTTAATGCAGTCTGTTCACCCCTGCTTGGAATTACAGTGATTTAAAAAACAAACAAAAAAAAACAAATTAAAGAGTGTGGTTGACAAATGATAAAAGCGACAAAAAATAAAAATGAAATCATATAAGTATGCATTTGTATTTTTAACAATAGACCGCACGCTGTTAATCAAGCCCAGGATATTTAAATGATTTTCAAAAAATCCGGATCCAGTCTGCCACCCTTTTCCACTTGTTCCGACAAGTTTCTGAAACAACTGGGAGCCTCATGTAATTGTAAACGTGTGCGTTTTAAAGTGCATTTAAACTATATGAAGTTGTTTTGTAAATTACTCACAAGGCACATTAACATTGTCACTTTTTTTTTTTAAACACCGTTTCCAAACTCAGCGCTAGAAAACACATCGCAGAGTCATGACTTTTTTTTCTCCAACTTTTCCTCCAGAGCTCTCCATATGACGCGCACACGACGGGCATGGCCGGGGCATTGAGTTACCACCCATACGGGAGTCCGGGGTACCCCTACCAACTCAACGACCCGGCTTACCGCAAAAACGCCACCAGGGACGCCACGGCCACCCTGAAGGCCTGGCTGCAGGAGCACAGGAAGAACCCCTACCCGACGAAAGGGGAGAAGATCATGCTGGCCATTATCACTAAGATGACCCTGACGCAGGTCTCCACATGGTTCGCCAACGCCAGGCGGAGGCTCAAGAAGGAGAACAAGATGACCTGGGCGCCCAGGAATAAGAGCGAAGACGAGGACGAGGAGGACGGGGACGGGGAGAGGAAGGAGGTGGAGCGCTCTGAGAAAACCCTGGATAACAGCGAGGCTTCAGCGGAGGACGAAGGTGGGGTATAATGTGGCGACCGAGCCAATGATCCATTTAACAATTCAGGGTAGCACCGGGGTGAGTCGGAAGGGAGGGGGGTGGATGCATCTTTTATTTACTGCTCAAGTTATTTATGGCAATAATATTTTTAGTTAAAAATAAAAATAAAAATATTGGATGATCATGAAACAGACGTCTTTATGCAAGAGATCTGCTTTTATTAACCATGTTAATTTGTATTATTTTATTTTATTAATGAAAAGGAGGTTCTGAGACTAAAAACTAAATGACCTGTTAAGGTGGACATTTTATTTTCTTCGACGTGATTAATGGCAGGCAGGTCACTGGCAACTTAATCCCCATGAGTGGCCTCAATAAAATTTTACTGATAATGTTATTCTCTTGATGACTTATTCTTTTTTTATCAAGGGGGAAATCATTATTGTTATCCTGAAGAAATAACTTTTAATTGTGGCCCATTGAGCTGATACAAATATAATATATTACTTATTCAAGGCTGGTTGGTTGTAGGCTAAAGCATGAGTGATTGCTTTGAATACTATAATAATATACTGTGTCTAATACTTTCTGACTTTAACAAAGTTTTTAGGTAGTGTTATTTAGAAAGTATCTTATGTCTTCGTTTCTATATTAGAATATTAGGTTACTGGTAATTAATATTTAATTTGATATATGTGTCCACTTTTTTTTACAGTTTCATTTTCTTCTTTCTTTATATTTGGATAGTTTTATTTCTTGCTTCCTGTAACTATATGTTTTATTTATGTAACAATTTTCTCCTTTTTCTCTTAGGTATCAGCTTGCACGTTGACACCCTGACGGACCACTCCTGCTCGGCAGAGTCTGACGGGGAGAAGGTCAGCTGTCGTGTGGGAGAGCTGGGCTCCGACCGGGCCGGCGACAAATGCGACGAGGACGACGACGACCAGAACCACGACCCGCGGGCTCAGCTCTCGCCCAAGCCCGTCACGTCGTCGCCTCTCACGGGAGTAGAGGCTCCGGTTCTCAGCCATCACCACCACAACCACCACCACCACCACCTCCAACACCTCCACCATCTCCACAGCCAGCGCGAGGATTTGGCCCGGAGCCTCGTCAATAGCAACAATATCAATACCAATAAATCGTCCTCATGCCTTGACAGCAGACCCTCATCGGGGCCGCCTCAGAACCCCACAGTCAAGCCCAAATTGTGGTCGCTGGCGGAGATTGCTACCTCGGACCAAAAGCAGCAACATCAGCAACAGCAACTGGGGCAGCCTGGGCAACCAAACTGCCCCTCCTCCAGCGGTGGCCTCCTTACTCCCCCCACGCCTTCTACCACCTCCCCGGCTGCCAGTTCCCCCTCCCTCTACTCGGCCCCCTCCATCCTTGGAAGACCTATTTATTACACTTCTCCCTTTTATAGCAATTACACAAACTATGGCAACTTCAGCCCCCTGCAGGGCCAAGGGATCCTGCGGTACACTAATTCATCTGGAGTGAGTCTGGCTGCTGCCGCCGCCGCTGCCGCCGCCGCCGCCGTTGCAAACGAGGGTCTCAGCTCCTCTCACCAGGCTCTGGAGGCGAGCACAAACCCTAAACACAGGCCAGACTCCCCCCTCGTTAAAAATAACCCAAACCAGATTGTTGTTGTCGAGCAGCAGCAGCAGCAACAGCATTTCAGATCCGCAAATTTAGAAGCAAAGAAAGGTACGTAATAACCTGACGCGGCGCGCTGTAGAAGGCGATTTAATCTGGTGTTGAGTCTTGAGGTTGTGTTCTTCTTTCACGGGGGAGGGAAATCGCACCACGGTGGAAGGAAAATGAGCTCACTTGTTTCCAATGCAAATCAACTGGTTTTTCTTTGTGTCACTTGTCATTGCAGTCACACTATGGTATGGTCTGGCAGGTTTGTTGCCTTATATAAAAAAAAGTAAAATAAAAAAAATACGACTCTTATCAAGCGAGTTTGCATGAGAAACAAGTGGCACCACTGGCAGATTTCCACTTGCTTTAAGATGAATACGATTTTGGGACTAAATATGAGACTAAATGACTTATTATAGATTTTACAGCGCCGTCTGAGTAAATGAACCTGTACTATGGCCTATAATTCGTTTTCAGCGCAGTGCATTTTCTGAAATAATCAATTTATAATTGTTCTCCATGGTTTAACAATATGCACATTTTGGTCTCTCTGACATTGCATCATTACGCACGAGGCGATGGGGACTTTCATTTGCAACAATCTCGCATTAGGAACCAGTAGGTATGTAATAAGAAAAACCTATTACAAACAAACGTGCTAGAGTACACCTACAGATAGAGACATCCATATAAACCCATTTAAAGTCAGGCCTCTCCATGCGCATTTACGCACACAGACACACACACACAGTGGGCCTCCCAAAACCTTATCTTCCAGCTCGGGATAATTAAAATCACACAGGGTCAGCCAAAAGCAAACAAATCAGTTAGTTTGCTCTGTGCACTCATCGCGCAACTTCACATCTTCAAATGTCACTGAGGTGGTTGTGGCGCTCTCCTCGCTCACATCCAAAGCTTTGCCTACACGCCGCTCGGTAGTCTGTAGTCGTTTTGTTGCTTTTTTATTAGCGGTAATTAGGCAGTGGGGATTTTAATAAGCACTCGCAGTGGAGCTGTTTTGGGTAGACTTTGTGCTTTCTGGGTTTGTGGAGGGAGTTTGATCATTTGATCGTGTGGGATTTTTTTTATTTCCATGGTCTGCAGGTAGGTGTCACAATTGCTTTGAGTATAAAGCGAGTTAAGGCCACCACCTTTTAGCCCCATGTTTTAACCCCCATAACCTTTACTCCAAACCGGATCTAGTGCCACCATATAGTAGGAATGAAAGCTGCTACCGCCTCCTCAGCTCCACACAGGCTGAGACTCTCTCTCACAGCACATATGTTTGTCAGATTATTACTGTTGTATCATTTCAGCTGTTTTGTTTTTGATGCATTGTGGATAATAATTTCATATGCTGGTTTGAAAAAGATCTCCCATTATATGTGATTTACATGTTATTTCTCAGGTTCCTATAGTTTGCTTATTTGCCACGGTATATTATTTTAGTAGATATTTACGTGTGGAAAACATAATTTGGCCTTTCTATGAAACCGTATTTGTAAAAGGAGGCGTCTCCGGACGCAAAGCGGACGGAGCTGAAGTGAACTTGAGGACTTCAAAGTGGAATAGCCTACATTTGATATTTATTTTTTTAAATGATGGCGAAATGATGCCTATAATTTATGCAAGTTGTATTGCAAAAATGGGAAACTGACATCGTCTGTTTGTTTTGTAAATATATATATATATTATGGACGGTTTTTATTTGAGACGCATTTGGGAAAAAGCTACACAATCTTGTTATCAGGAGAACTTTTACTAATTTATATCTTTGAATGTAAATAAAATAAAACACGCTGGTATTGATGTACTGGCGGGGTATGATATTCATTATTCAAAGGAGAAAATATTAAACTGTTTTCCCAACTATTACATCAATCTTGGGGAGTCATTCTTTTATTTATATCAGACCTGTATATAACACTGGGCCATTTTTTATTCACTCTGCTCATTGTTCTTTTATTTTGTCAGTCAAACGCAGATGGGAAATGTTTGATGAATCTCGCTTTTCATAAACATTATGAGTTTTCACAGATTGCACAATCCATTCTGTCTAAATGGACCATCATTTTCTTTTAGGGCCTCATTCTGGTCAGGGAATCTCCCTCGGCCACATATTCACGACCTTGATTGGGATAAACGACGTACTTATTTCATTTTTCTCCCCTTTTCCCCTCTTCTCTCGCCCTGCCACACATTTATTTTTCAGTGTGATTAATACAGCCGTGGGACGCATCGGGCATTATGGGCTCCCAGCGGGGCCCATCCCTGGAGCTTTTTAGCCTGGTTCAGGATGGGTCAGCCCTGCCTGCTTCATTACGGCACGGCATTGAGCAATCCATAAAAGTCTATCTAAGCATCTGCCAGCTCCAATGGGCTGTGTGATGGGCCCTAATCGGACAGGCTTTCCTCTGCTTTTCATCATGGCTTGGTTATTACAGCGGCTTTAGGACACAGCTAATTAAACAATTTATAGAAAAAGCTTAGGTCTAAGGAAATGTATTATTATTATTATTATTGTTATTATTATTATTATTACATATTTTTTACATACCATTTAGCATTGACTTTATTCATTTTTATCATTGATCATTTTAATTCCAATATTTTCTTTTTTTTCTTACCCATTTTGTGGTCTTCTTGTGAAATACTCAAAGATCAAATATATAATATTCCCATCCTCCAAGAGGAGGCCTCCGTCATTGCTCCCAGCCAGACTAAAAGCTAATCCTTCATTTTCCAGTTGAATTTGAGCTTGAGTGTTGTCCAAATCTCAAGGGACTCCCTTTCACCTTGCCGCCCCCCCTACTTCCCGCCTCATCCAAGGAAGTAATATTTGGCTGCCACCAGGGATGCAGTGGAGGGTAAACCCACCTAAACTCTGTTAACCCACCTTTTAGGCTGACAGAAGTCTTTGTGACATAAATTCATGGTGTACTTTGCAGTGAATAGTGTCACCCTGTCAGAAATTCAGTGAAAAGATAACATTCAAAGACTATTTTTTGAATCTATTATGGATTTCTGTTTAAATTGGGTGTTGTTCTCCTTTTGATCACCGCTGACATATTTTACCCACCTTTCTATTTAACTTTGCTTCACTGGCAGCCACCTATATGGCAGTCATGCACACTATAGCCTCTGGCCAGCTTCTTCTTCTTCAGCCCAAACGTTTTCATTAGCAGTTGATTTATTGAAATGCATGCTTTATTCTCAGGTGGGCTCCCCCGAGGACTCAGCACTGTTGTCAAATAGCACCAGAGGCGCTCTCCAAAGCACACAGGGGCCCTGCCTCTCTCTCCCTCCCTTTCTCTCACCCGCTGCTGCACCCACCAAATGTCAACATTTGTTCTCAATAAAAAGAGTTATTGTTTCTGTTTAAAAAAAATTGCTCAGCAACCGGTCGCCTTTGAACACATGAAAAGAAACTTCCACCCCTCCCCTCTGTTTGATTGAGAGCAATGGCGGGTGAAAATGGGAGCAAGGTGTCCATTGCACATGACAAACCTCAAGCTGTGAAGCCCGTTATGAAATGATTGTGAATTTATGCCACAATTAGTCACAATTGTACAGAGGCATTTCCGTCCCTTTTGAAGAACATGCTCTTTGCTTCAGATTTGTTAACCTATTAGCAGAAGAAACCAGGGCGCCCTTGACAGTCTATAGATATTGATCCTCAAGGGCAAAACAGACAATTTACTGTATTGCCAAGTCTACTGTATAGTATGAGACCTTAGTTAAACCTATGCTTTACAGCGAGGGAACAATTTAAACTTATCTAGATATTATTTAATTCCATGCATCGCATATCAAATAGTCATAATCCTATCATATAGTTTACCAAAGAGGGTGTGTTCATCCATGCTAAGGACTAGTTGTCATTGAAAGCTAAATTGATGATATCGCAGGGCTCATAGGCTTCATGTGAGCGTAGACTGGAGAGCAAGTGGACTCATTCCCCCTTATCATTGATCAAATAAGCAGCTCGTATATGCAGATAATTCATGAGCTCTTTGTATCCGTTATCCTCCCATCAACCCTTTCTCCTCCAAAATGCTTCAGACATTAATCTCTGACGCACACCTGTGTGCCGCCCCAACAGGAAGTTAATGCAGCTAAAGTTTTACTATTGCAATAGAGAGTTTATTATGTTTCACAGACGGTAACTGTAGCAGTTAATGGAGTGGGATGTTAAATCAGACCTGTAGGAATGGATGAATTAGCTATACAGATACCAAGACTTTAAGAGAAAAATGACACTGAAATTCAACTTGCATATTGTTTGACAATCTGTATGAACAGACTTCCACTCATGCCTCTCCTGGCTAGACACAAGTTAGAATAATTAGCTCTTTCTTTAATTGAGTATCTACATGGACAATCCATTGAGAAAAAAATGTAAAAGAACACTGAATATGTCTGGCACAAGAACCACCAGAAATTTCTCTTATCCAGTTTAAATTCAAATGTGTGAACCTACCTTTAATATGTGTAAACTAGCAACAGCAGTAACAAGTCCAATTATTGTTTGGAGCTTATTTGGAGTCCTTTATGAGATAAAGAGGTAATTAATGTGAGCAAAACATTATAAAAAAACACGTTTACCCTTTGATTGAACCTTTCTTTAAGTCCACCCTCTCTGACACTCATATCTTTCACGATAAAGCCACCTATTAAGACCTAACCATAAATACCGCTGATGTTCAGACTTAACCATAAGTAGCACTAATATTCAGGGGAGAGTGAGAGACGAAAGAGAGCAGAGCACAAATCAGGTACAGGTGTGTTTAATAACGCACATCAAAGTGGACAGGGGACTTTAAAAACGAGTCCGGGGTCCTGTCCTCTCGTAAAGGTGTCAGGTGAAATGTTCACTTCTCTGAATGATCAAGGGGAGTAAGCTGTGCAGGATTTTGACACACTCGTGCACACATACACAAAGATACACATACATACTGATCCTCACTGCCTACACACACGCACACACACACTCTCAGACTGAGAGACGCTAATGCTTGTCCACACGACATTCTAAACAAGGCCATTAGGAGCCCTGACTTCCACTCCTAATTGACAGTTATGTTTAATGCCTGTGGTGAGTAAACACTTCAGAGTAGTGGACTGCACCTTTGGGCTGTAAATCAGGGGAAAACTGCGAGCCCGTGTCGGAGGCGGCCGTGAAAACTGGATGGTGGTGGAGGTGGATGTGAAAGGTGAGGTGCAAAATAAATACAATGTGCTTGTTTGCGTTCATCTGTCTAAGATACGTATGCAACTTTACAACAAAAACAATACCACATGTTATTACACACAATCAGCATCATCCATCATTAGCATTAAATATACTACAATGCTCTTTTCACATTTCAGTAAATCACAAGTTCTGAGCAGGTGTTTGAATATCACCAAAAAGCCAAACAACAAGAAGTTATATGTGCTTTGAATGTGTTTAAAAATGGAAAGAAAGACAATTATAAAAAAAAGGATACTCATTTTTAGAATCAGATATTTCCTAGTTAGAGAAACATTCACATACACATACTGACGAAGACAGCCAGGACATTCTGTCATGATAGTATTAGACCTAGTCAAGATTGTGGACACTACAGCTCATCAAGAATAATAATATAGTGTTAAACTACAAATTTGTTTAGGCTGACTAAAAATAAAGGAAGAGATAAGAACAAAGTGACAGAAGTTCAATCCAGTGAATCATGAACTTAAACCATTTGGTTTGAGTGATGTGCTTCTCGTGCCACAGTACATAAATAAGTAACCATTAAAATATACAATTTTAATGTAGAATATATCAAACATGTAAACAGAATTGAAAGAAAGGCATTACATCCTGCAACATACTGAAAATCTTGCATAATGCTAAAACCTTCACCATTTATTTTATTTGTATTGGAGCTATTTTGCATGATTTATTCAAAACTGTGGATGTGATTTACTCACAAGTGACTACATATGGTTCACCTTTTTCCATTTGGGAAATATTACTGCATGTGTGTTTGAAGGTGTTGGTGTTTCCATGTGTTGTGGATATCCATAGTACATGACTGTTTCTCTGCACTGTGATGTGCGTCTAAGTGCAGTTAACACTCAGTTAAACCTCCATCCTGAATTGCGAACTGTCAGCTTTCAAGATCAGTGAGTCCAACAAGTGGATGAGGCAGACATGAGAAAACCACGTTTTCTCCTCCTGTCTGTCTGGAGTGTTTTATAAATGAGCTCAACATGTCTGCACAGGACCTTTTTTCCCATCACGTACTCTGCGAGACATATCAGGGAAGTGATTCATGTTAAATAGTATCTGTCAGACTTGTCGGCTAATTAAATGAAGCTTTGCTTTAAGCGTACACTTTAGTGTCATGACTTTTCACTTGATTCTACAGCTTTCAACCTAAGCTACTTTGACTGAGTAATGGGATAGCGCTCAAATCAAACAGCATTAAATGTAAATGTATCGAAGAAAAACTGTGGCCCAAGATGCTATTTTAATGAAAACTAACTAGAAGACATGCCTGGAGGAACGGTTGGAGGCACTATATATTATCTGCCAGAATGTTAATTTTAGAAATACTTTTTAAATGTTGCACCACTTCTAATTGCATCTAGATGTAATAAATCGAAGGCAGCTGCAGAAGCCTCTTGGATGAGTTGTGAAAAAAACATGAAGATCAAATCCAGTTACTTTGACTGCAAGATATGACCTGGATAACAAGTCCAAGTAGGATGCATTTTTTTAAATGTGAAGATTGAAGTTCCATGTGAGTCCATTTTGAAATTTTTAGATAAGATGTTTTGAGAACAACCCGAATGCAAGACACAATGGTTTCTTTACATCCAGTGCCAGCGATTTTAAAATTCCT